TTTTTTTTTTTTTTTTTTTTTTTTTTTTTTTTTTTTTTTAATGCTGCAATATTGCCATAGAGGGCTGGGAGGAAGCAGAGGTGGCTGTCAGGCTGTCACTAAACCGTGGTTTGCAGTGGGGCGGTAGCAACTGTAGGTTGGGGAGAAGTGAATTGCTTGCAGACAGTGGTCACCAGCTCTGACTCAGGAGTCAGGCTGAAGCAGGTACCCTCCTGGCTCTTCCACGTATGGATGTGTGACCTCAGGCCAATCACATCTCTCCAAGCTTCGTCCCCATCTATAAAACAGGTAACTTGTGGCACCTACCTTGAGAGTCTGCTCTGGGGATGCTGTACATTTAGCAATGGCTTGCAGTGTAGTAAGGGCTCAATAAGTTGGTTATTGTCATTATTTCTGGGGATGGGGTGGGTATATGGGTCGGAAACTCAAGGGTTCTGGGTGGGAGACTCAGATTGGGTGGGTGTCTGTAGACCAGGAGCAAAATTAACCCCTGGGGGACATTTGGCAATATGTGTTGTCACAACAGGAAGGGGAGTCGGGAGGGCACTACTCATATCTACAGAGTAGATGGCAGGGACGCTGCTCAGCATCCTACAAAGCACAGGACAGCCCCACAACAAAGGATGTCAGTAGTACAAAGTTAAGCCCTGGTGTGGACAGAAGGCGAAGCCTCCCCTTTAAATCAGGCATGCCCCCTCAGTCCCCACTGTCCCCACCTCTAGAAGGATGCTGTCCAGTAGAACTAGAAGGTGAGCCACACCAAAACCAGTGTAAAGGCACGGGTGAAATAGACTTTAATAACATTCCTTACTTAACATGTCCAAAGTCCTATCAGTTCAAAATGTAATCAGTATAAAAGTCATGCATGAGATGAGTTACACTCTTACTACAAAGTCCTGGAACCTGTTGAGTGCCCTTTTTGGCCCTGGGAGGTGGAGGGCAGCAGTCTCCTAAGGTGGGTAGCCATGAGCCACGCGTGGCTTTTTACACTTAAACTAAGATAAATAACATTTAAAATCCCGGTCCTCAGCCCTACTCGCCACGTATTAAGTAGGCAATAGCACCACGTGGCTAGTGGCTGTCCCATTGGGCGGCGCGCAGATCACCGACCATTTCCATCATCTAGGACGCAGCTCTGGCCACTTTCTGGAGTCCTGAGGCTGCACCCGACAATAAGGCCTTTCCTCGCCCCTCTGCGCTCCCAGCTGCACGGCCCCCAGGTGTAATGCAAACCCCGCCGGCCGCCCCGCGGTCCGCAGCGCGAGGCGCCGCTGCTGCTCACCGACCCAGCAGCCTGCGCTTCAAGCTCCCGGCTCAGCTGGAGGGCGAGCTGCGGGCGCCCCGGTGCGGTTCTCCGGTGCACCTGCGGTGCCACCGGGATCGCACTCCACGCTTAAGCCCTTCGCGTGCGCCGCCGGGGGCCCGGCCTTCAAAAGCCCCCTCCCGCTGGCACGACCCCCGCACGCCTGCCGCCGCTTCTCTGCCTCGACCCCTCCCCGACGCGGCCACTGCGCTTTGTGCCGGGTGCCATCAAGACCGGGCAGCTGCCCAGCCCGCGTGGCTCAGCGGTTGGGCATCCACCTAGGATCCAAGAGCTCGGGGTTCGATTCCCGGTCAGGGCACATGCCCGGGTTGCGGGCTGGATCCCCAGCAGGGGGGTTCAGGAGGCAGCCGATCCTNCAGCCCGCGTGGCTCAGCGGTTGGGCATCCACCTAGGATCCAAGAGCTCGGGGTTCGATTCCCGGTCAGGGCACATGCCCGGGTTGCGGGCTGGATCCCCAGCAGGGGGGTTCAGGAGGCAGCCAATCCTTGACTCTCTCATCATTGATGTTTCT